TGTTATTTAAGAGATGAAAATGTTCATTAGTAAAGTAAGTGAATGGTCTTAGGTTCAAATCTTGTGTCCATAACAATTATTTTTTTATTTTTTTCCTTTCGGATGGAGAAATTAACACTTGGCGTAGGAAGAGAATGCCACTTGGCAAAATGAGGAAAGGAAGTTCATGGACACCAAGGCGTGATTTGGGAACCCAAATAAAAGTTACATTTTGCAGTTTCAAAAACGCAGCCTGAGGCAACTAAAAATGTTAGAACACTATTTCGGAAGTTAGCAAAACGCAAGATGTGAAATTACATGAATTACCCTCCATGTTTACAAGTTGAGGGCTAGGGAAAATCACAATTTGGAGGTATTTTGGTCATTTTATTGTGACGTGACATCATAAATAAATATTAACCCAAAAAGTAAAAAAACAATTTTTTACCAACTTTTCAAAAAGCTAAAAAACTTGGTTAAAAGTTAAAACTCAAGTTTTAACTATCTTCCCAAAACACCCACAAGTAAGATGTTCACTTTTAATAATAATATAGGCTGTAACTATTTTTAGTTTATTTGAAAGTCTTAAATGCATATGGATAAAAAAAAAAATCACATTCTATTTGTCATAATTGTAACTTTTGTGTTATAGTTATTTGTATAACAAAAAAGTTATGTGACAACTTATTTAGCCAAATAGATTCAATTTCTTTTTACAAATTATAAAAGTTGACCAAACAAATTCATACCAAAGGAACCTATTAAAAACGATATATGCATATTTCCATGCAAAGCATGTACCTATCACTAATATACAGGTATAGATAATATATGTGGTGCGTCTCTTAACTATAAAGAACATATATATATGTATATTGAAACAAATAAAACAAATATAACAGTAAAGAAATTTTTAAAAGAAGATTAGCAAAATATATGCACACACCAAACCCAAATGAACAAGAATGCAGGCAAGCAATCTAGAATAGTGAATCTAATAGACATAAACCTCCAATAAACATATATCTCCCTAAAACATGATCGTATACTTTAGACCTAACAGAACAAAATCTTAACTATATACTATTGTAGACGCGTCCCGCGGAGGGGGCCCTCGCTACTACAGTTCGGACTCGATTTTGTAGTCACGGTTCTTAATCTTGAACCAAAGAGTCCAAATCTGGCAAATCGCTTTGAGAAACAAATTTTTGAAAAGTAGTGCCAAACATGGACTGCTTTGCCAGATACAGAGTCGCCACCTAAATATTTTAAAATGGTGATTGTCAAGTCTTCATGAAGGAACAAAAATATCAAGAAGTTAACACTCTTGATGAATCACAAAAGGGCATTTTTGTCAATTCACAAAACCATTCCCACAAAACTTAGGAAATAGGACTGTCTTAGCAATAACTAGTAGGTGAATGAAAAATGGTGTCAGCTATGAGCACCCCCTCTCGCCCGGTCCGAAGACCGGCCTCTACTAACCATGATATCCGATTTTGAAAATGTTATGTGTTCTTATTCCATTTATTAGCCTAGAATTACTATGTTATGCGCGCAGCAAACAAGTATAGACTAGATTGCCTAATTTGGAAATAAGCATTGCATATCCGTTTGTTTTGAAAAGCGCTTTGGAATTTGCTACTCGCAAGTAGGCTAAAATACGGATTTCAACGAGTTTTTCCAACTCAAACAATCCAACCTCCACCCACGGGCATTCAAATAGTTTATCTCATATAAGCACTTAGCCACATGGTAAGCATACTGTCATGGCAACACTCACACGCATGCGGGATGCTAAAACAAAAATACTTACATCGTACTCCGTGCCAAAACAATAAACTAGTTAGCTAACATGCATGTCCTAGTTCATTTTAAGAATGGCTAATGCGTCGCATGCAAAAATGCAATCTAGACAGGCTTGGCTGACCCTAAACATGACATGTGAAATGCAGCCAATTGATTCACGTATTCAGTTTTGAATTTGAAGTACAAATGCAATTAGCGTGATGTACCGAGCCTGATGCATGCAATATAAATGCATGAATGCACGCATGTATAGCATAAAGTATGCTAATTTTAAAGATGCCCTAATCTACCATCATAAGCAGGTAAATAAAAGGGAAGAAAGAAGTGGGGATTGGAAGACATACACACACTCACCCACACTTATTACAGATTTGCCCTCGCTCAGAGGGACCGAATAAATATTACAAATTAATTAACTACGCAAGCTAATTAAATATTACAAATTGCCTAACTAATTAATAAACTAATTAAGCTAGGAAAACAGATAAACCGCCTCGAGAGGAGGGCCAAATGCAGCGCATGCTCGGGTCTTGCTCGGAAGTGCACCGCCATGCATAGGCTGCCTCTGTTTTCCTTCCTTCACTCCTCTGGAGGCTGCCAAAATCTCAGAACTGGTTCCTTGGACACTGAGGAGTTCCACCGGCTGAATGGAACTGTCACCGGCAGTGTGTTATGGCCATCGGCACAAAATGAAGCTGTCGGCAGAGAAGGGGTTGTCGGTCAGCACTTGACACTGTCGGTCGGCAAAGTGTTCCTGCAGAATTGGCAATTGACAGCAACAGAGGGCAAGGCAAAGCATGGCAGCACAATTCAAAGCATATATGCACCATTCATGTCCCTTATCATGTTTGTGACTCAAAGGGGCATGTGTCTCGATTCTCGAGCCACCAATCACGCATTTCCATGCATGATGGCCCGAGTGACCAAGTGTGCAACTTTCATGTCAAATGAAATGCAAACCAAACACACAAATCAAGACCCAATTCCTATCACCAAGTCAAGGAACAAGGCATGCATGCAAGATGCAATGCAACCTAGGCATACAAGCTAAGGATGCAACATGGCATGGCAAGGCACTTATGCAAGCATACAAGCATACATGAGGCAATGCAAATGGATGAAAAGATGGACTTAAACATGATTTGGGCAGCTCTACTAAGGCCCAAAACAGTGGCCAAATTGACCAAAATATGGGACCAAATATACATGCATACATACATATGATTAAGGGCCAACACTTAGGCACAAATTGGTCAACCCTCAAGCACACTTGAAAGAGGCAATCATGGACTGATTAGCATGCATTATAAGCCTTGAAAACATGTAGGAAATGATGCCAAATTAACCTACTCATGCAAGCTATACATGCAACGAGGCCCAAGGACCTAAAGCATGATCATATGACTCATGAAGCAAATGACCAAATTGAACCAAAACAGTCCCAAATCATGCAAAAACAAGCCTCGAGAATCACTTAGATGGCATCCAAGTAACCTAATCCTAGAGGTATACATCATGGCACAAATACGAAGCATGGAGCATCAACTCTTGAAGCAACAAAAGGGCCACAAAATGCGAACATTTAGGCATGCTAAAAGGTCTGAAATGACATGGTGGGTGGTTCCAAACCACCGAAATGATGCAAGAAACACATTCTACACATTCACATACTTGAAGCATACAAGCTCAAATACAAAGGAGCTATACTATGCATGCCAAGATCAACCCAAACGGCTATGGACAGAGCTAAAACATGGCAAAATGAGCACAAAACCTTCACAAGGCTAAACCTAAAACATGCTTGAACAAAGGCTAACAACCTAAAGCATGTTAAGGCATAAACATGGCATTACAAGGTAGGTATGCTAAACGTGCATGGTGTACCAAAACCAACAAAAATCAGAGGCATAATATGACATATTAAACACAAAAAACAACTAAGGCATGGTCAATACACCCTCTAACATGGTGCTCCCTCAAGAGGCCAAAAATGGTCCTTTTCAAGGACAACAAGGAGAGCGGGTGGCCCTCTCCTTTTAGAGACTTCAAGGCACCATGGTCCATTTTAAGGACAACAAGGAGAGGGGTGGCCCTCTCCTTTTAGAGAATTCAAGGCAACATCTTCACCACTGAAATCCCTCAAGATTTCAGTGGTGAGGAGGCCCAAACACCAAAGTCTCAAAACTAGCACAAAATAGCACAAAATGAGGCCTTTCAAGGTCTAAGAGGGGTCAAACACCTCCAAACCACAAAACACCCTTAATAAACAATCAAGAGGGTCTAAAAATCAAACTTTTTTGTATTATACACCAAGCTCAAAAACGAATTTAAGACAGGTAAAAATACAATGCAAGATTGGGGTAAAAAGGGGTAAGATTCTCACCCTTGAAGACCTCTTCAACAATGATGCTCCAATGGCCCTCCTTGGCTTGAATCCAACACCAAACACCAAAATCAGCCCCTTAGAACCTCAGGAGCCAAAGGAAGGTGAAACACTATGTGTTTGTGTGCAATAGTAAGACACAAACACACTTTAACACACACAAGAGGGAAAAAGAGAGAGATAATGTGTATCAAACCCTAACCCTAGAACTCAAACCCTAAAAATGGCTGTCTAAGCTCTCTAAAATATCTCAAGTGTCTAACCCTTGCAACAAGAGAGAGCCCCTCTCTTTATAGAACTTCTTGTCTTGTAAAGCTTACAAGACAAGCTTCATAAGAGGGAGATCCCTCCATACACGTGTATGGAGGGGAGCCAAAAGCAAGACAGCTGTCTTAAAATATCTGCAAAAGCAGATGCACAGTAGTCGGCCGGCCAAAAATGCCATTTTGGCAAAAAAGAGTGCCGGCCGGCAACAAAAGGTGCCGACCTGTAACAAAAAGTGTCGACCGGCAACAAATAGTGCTGATGGCAGCAAAAACCAGCCAGTGGCCTCTAGCCACTACCGGTGGTGTATGGGGATGCCTCACAAAGCATTCCCTGCCCTTCCAAGGTAAAACACAAGTGTTTGGTGTGAAACCAGACACTAAACGGTCGAGTTCGGAGATCCTGAGGTAAGGCACGCGAGCCGAGGCCTTCGGGAACTCCAAACAAACACAAACATGGATAATCACCGAGTGTTCAAATAGTGACATCCAAGTCTTGAGGACGGTCAAAAATGGGGTGTCTACAACTATTTAACAATTTCAAAGTGCCAACAAACAATATATATCTAGTATTCACTTCTACACTTTTCATCAATCTCTCCATAGCTCTGGCTCATGAGATTTTCTTCCTCACCATCATAAGCCTGATATAATCAAACAACGAAAAATTAAAATTCAAAATTATAGAGTTAAATAGTATATAAAATTATAAATTCTCACCCCCGTGTTTCATCGGTTTCTTTGTCGATTTGGTTCATGGCATTCCAAACCGTCATCCGCGGCAACCAGTGAAAAGGGTATTTGTAGCGGGCAACACCTAATATCAAAAGCATGTCTCTGCCCTTGTGATATGCAGCCATTGGTGAAAAATGATCATCACCCTTCTAAATTTCAAAAAATAATAATAATAAATTTAATTTACTATATTATAACAAAAATCATAATATTATAAAAATAATTAAATCAATATTCAAATCTAAAACAAAATAAATCAGTAAATTACCTAATTGACCTTCTTCCTAGAGTAGGACAGAATCATGTGCAAATCTTCCACTAAAGTCGTTTCGATCACAGAGTCTGTAAATTGCTCTAAAGAGCTATGTTGAACCTTGAATGCTTCAATGTCGACATGTTCCCTAGCAAGTTCAGCAAAATTATCAAATGTGATTCCTTTTTTCTGGATATTCCCCATGATCTCCGAATCCCCGACCATGTGATCCTCGAACCAGTGCCACGGACCTACAACAAAAACATAAAATAAAATAATAAAAAAATTAAGGAATGAGCATTGAGACAAAAACATAACAAGCATTAATTATTGGAGCATAGGAGAACAAAAGGGCAACAGGAAAGCAAATCAGATATGAGTTAGAGCAATGAGCCCCTGGGATGCAGTGTGGTTGCTCTGCCCTTTGTATAGCAGCCACTGCTGTGAGATGTAATAAGGCTCATGTCAGGTCCTATCTCAATGATCCAGATCATTTATTTTTTAAGGTACATTAATTAGAATATTCTCGTAAAAAATTAAGTCGATCAGATATCAATAGCCCCTAATCAGAACAAATTTATATTCACCTTTATACTAAAGAAAGCGTTTATTTTTATAGATACAAATTTGCCCTGATCATAAGTCTATTAATGTCCGATTGACTTAATTTTTTTTCAAGAATGTTCTACTCGGCGTACCCTAAGAAATGAACGGTTCGGATTATTGAGGAGTAACCCAAAGTGAGCCTTATTACGCTCACAACAGTGGCCACACTGCATCCCCTACCTATGCCCCTTTGATTTCATTGGCCACCTCATCATTAGTGATGCCATAGAAATTTAGATTTAATAATATCACACTGAAATATATAAGGTAACAAATTCAACAAAAATCAATATAAGAATTGTTCCTAAATAATTAAAAGTTTAACAAATAGAAACTGTAAGACCAAACTGAACCTTTTAAAACGCATAGAAACAAGTTTTATACTGAAAATTGAAACAAAATTGAGCAACCACTTCAGATAAAAAGTGAATTTATTGAAGAAAAATACATTAGGAAAACTAAACCCAACAGTTTTTTTTAGTAGATCTAAAGGTGGACCGATGAAATGAAGAGGGGGTAGAAGGGGATACTGTTATCTATTTAAAAAAAGGGCAAATTACCAATACCCCTCGAGGTTTGACTAAAATACAAATTTCTCCCTGAGGTTTGAGAAATTACATCCCGCCCCCTGAAGTTTATATTTTCGTAACAGATTGCCCCCTGAGGTTTATATTTGCATAACAAATTGCTCCCTAATTTGTTATGCAAATATATCCTTCAGGGGAGAATTTGTAATTTCTCAAACCTCATGAGGGAATCTGTATTTTAGTCAAACCTCGAGAGGGTGTTGGTAATTTGTCCTAAAAAAAAAAATTCCTTCACAACTATCTATACAATTGAAAAATTATTGTAAATATACCAACTTTTCTCATTGCCTAAAAAAGTCAAAAAATCAAAAATCACTAAGTTGTCAAACTCACACTCAAATTCATTAAAAATCTATCAAAAGAAGAGATAACGACAAAACCCTACTTACAACATAAATCAAAACATTGTTTTAGGACAAATCAACAATAAGATACCTTTCTATGTTATTTACTTTTTGCACATTTTTTTCACAAAAAGTTAAAAGTTATTCTCAAACATCTTTTATACTTTTACCTCATATTTTAATCAAAACCCAAAAAATACTAAAAAAAACACTTCTAAATGAACCCCTAATCAAAAAACCAATCCAACCTCAATGGATTGAATGCCGGACTAATAATCTATTGAACCTCGCATATTTTCTTCACTCTCAATTCCACTAATATTGAGGCAATTAAGCATGACCTTACAACCTTAGACACATAATTGACCCATACTATAACAAGACTAAACTAAACTGACTCAATCCATAAAAATTCAGTCGAGTTCCTTCATTTTTAGAATCTTTTGAACACTCCTAGTTTGAATCATTGTAGGTTGATGAAATACTCAATATCGATTCAGAACATTCCAAACAGGACCTTAGCTAAAGCAAAAAAAAAAAACATTCTTAAATAAAAATTTCAACAAAAATACTTTTTTAAGTCATCAATGATAACTAACTTTACTCCAACAGAAGGTGAATCAAAGTCAAAGACCAAGAAACCCACTGAAAACTGATGGTTTTGAATTTCCACAAATTGACTATCTAATTTGAGAGAATAATTTGGGATATTATTTAATAATTCCAGAACATTACGTAGCCATACTCCAAATTATTTACCAATTACCTAGCCTCCATATTGTCTCTCATCTCCAACATAAATCGTGGGCCCCTACCCTTTCTACCAATCAAAACATTATGAAGTACCACGTTTCCATACTCTAGAAATACTGAATAATCACCTGAATAATTTAAGCTTGATGGATTTATTTTGAAATCGATTTCGGTAATTTGAATTATTTATTTTTTATGATTCGTTGATTAGAATATTCATATAAAAAATGAAAATGATTGGAAATGGATAATTATACATTTGAATTACATTTTTGTTACAAAAAATAATTAGTTATTCTGAAAATTATATTTATTGTCCATTTTACTACTGATATCTGATCATCTTATATTTTTTCATAAATATCCTATTTAACAAATCTTAAAAGGTAACCATTCAAAAAATTAAAATCAACTCCAAAATTAGTCCCATCAAACCGAAATTATTCTCTCAAGTTGAATGGCAACTTGAATCCAATCAGAAAACTCTCTCTCTTTCTCTCTCATATGTGAGCCTCAGTTTGTTTGGTTTGAGTTTTTTGAATTAAGTTTTTGAAAATTGAGTTTTTTGGTTTTCGTGTTTTTTTATTTTTAGGGAATATTTTTAAAATTTAAAGATTTTTTTTACTTTTTTAGATACACCTTCTTTAGATGTATCTAAAAAGTAAAAAAAATTGTGAAAAAATATTTTAAAAAATTAAATAAAAAATTTGTGAAAAAATATTTTAAAAAATTAATAAATACATAAAAATACAAAAAAAATGTACTGAATTCTTGTATTTTTTTTCTATTTTTGGTATTTAGTGAATTTTTAAAAGATTTTTTTCACAAATTTTTTACTTTTTAGGTATATTTATGTTAGGTATGTCTAAAAAATAAAAAAAAAATATTTGCTTAAAATATTAAAAAAATACAGTAAAAATAAAAAAAACACGAAAAACAAAAAAGTAAAAATTTTCCGAAAAATGCTTTTGAAAAAATTGGAACCAAGTAAGCTAAGGCATTTGTTTGGCCTCTCATGTGAGTCTCAAAATCATTGTAGTTCAAGGCATTTGTTTGGCCTATAACTTTTTGATTAAAATAATCAAAATCAAAACTCTCCTTATTTTTTTTATTATATATCTTCTCAAAAAGAAATAATCAATTAATTAAAATAATCAATTCCCAAACAAGTGTAAGTGTTGGTTTGGTTTTCCTCTTGAGCTAAAAAATCACAAAAGGACAAAAAAAAAAAAAAAAAAGTAAAAAAATCACAAAAAAAAAAAAATCAAAAAAAGACAAAAAAATAATTATAGTAGCCTAGCCATTGTCAATAAGTCCGGTCCGACAGAACACAAGTGGTAAATGACAATTTCGCCACTTTAGACTAATTTTGAGGCCCAGATCTGACCGGTTCAGATTGATGAGTTATTTTTTTGTGTGTAAAATTAATTTTTTAATATTTTTTTTTGATAAATAGTGATAACTTTTTAACTTTTTGAGTAATTTTTTGACTTTTTGTCTTTTTTAAGACATGCCTATTTACAAATCTGCCACTGTGCACAAGAATCCGTGTAGGTGTTCGAGTGTTCGAACCGTAATGCTTGAGAAATGGTAAGCAAACGCCGTATTTACATATCTGCCACTATGCAGGAGAATCCATATATG